ACAGCGCGTTCATATATATGTTTTCGATGCAGAGTGCAAATGGCTGTGCATTTATTTGTGTTTTTAACTCGATGGGAGCGAAATGAAACTGTCAGAACAAGCTGTGTGTGTTGTCTGTCTCCCCGCTTCCCCCTCCTCCGCTCCGCTGCGCACCACGCCCACCTTTTTTTTTTAGCATTTTTTAAAACTGTGGTGAGGACTAACCAGTGCTGAAATGGGGGGTTTCATGACCCTTTAAGGTGCGATAAGTATGTTTTTAACCTCCAGAAATGAATGATGCATTTTTGATCTGACTCCGGTCATATTAGTGGTCCAGAAAAGGCCATTTAAATTGAATATACGATTTTGAGATCACATGACCACCTGAATACTGTTCATTTAATTCTGGTTAGGCCCTTATTATCAGATACTTGGAGAATAAAATAATCATGGATAACACCTCTGCTTGCAAATGAGCTGTTTTTGCATTGGCATCATGTGACGGTGCTTTCATGCCAACAGGTGTCAGTATACAGCTAAAGAACACTGCTGTACTGAAATCTGAAGTCTGGTCAATGATCAGAATCCTACACTGAGAGAAAAAAACACATCTACATCTTCACAATGAATTTGCTTGTAAATTATTTGTAAAGTACAAATAAATGGCAAGTAACACACTGAAGTAAAAGTGAAATTTTGAAGTAGAAAGACTAAAATAAATAGTATTTTCTTGTAAAACATTTGAATAATCTGTTTTATTTACATCTTTAAAAAAAAGTATATTTTCAGTTTTATTTTTTATTTTATTTTTAAACTAATTTTTAGTAATTTTGTTAAGTGCTTTTGTCAGTTTTATTATTTTATTGTTGTTATTTTATATTTCTATATTATATTTCTAGTCATTTTAGTAAATGAAAAAAATTGCAATTTTTTTTTTGTCATTTTAATTCAATTTTTTATTTAATTTAATTTAATTTTACATTTAATTTTAGTCATTTTTAATTCAGTTAATTTGCTACGGCAATTTCTAATTTCTAATCATTTCTCATTTTCTAATTAATTTTCAAATGTTTTAAGTTTTTATCTAATATTTGCATTTTATTTTACTTTAGCTTTACTTTGATTACTGGAAACAGTTTTAATAGTTTTAGTTAAAAATAGCAACACTGTTATACACGATAACAAACTTTTATTATAGTTAAAATAGCTAATTTCTAATCATTTCTAATTTTCTAATTAATTTTCAAATGTTTTAAAGTTTTAATCTAATATTTGCATTTTATTTTACTTTAGCTTTACTTTGATTACTGGAAACAGTTTTAATAGTTTTAGTTAAAAATAGCAACACTGTTATACACGATAACAAACTTTTATTATAGTTAAAATAGCTCATTATTGTCATTCATAATATGGTAGTATCATTTGTTAACTTATAAAACTACTGAAGCTAAAGATCAATCGGATAAATTGGAGTCCTCCAAATCACTGATTAAAGAGATAGTTCACCAGTGTCATCATTTACTCACCCTCATGTTGTTCCAAACCTGTATGAATTTCTTCTAATTCTACTACTGTCAACTGTTTGGTTGATTTATTATCTTCTTTTGTGTTCAGCAGAAGAAAGAAAGCCATACAAGTTGGGAATAAGTATGGCAGAATTTTCATTTTTGGGTGGACTGTCCCTTTAAGAAAAAACACTTGATAAAATAACAATTACTGTAATGCCGCAGAAAGCTGCTGTTTTCTTCCCGAACTTCTCAAGGAACCACTGCCAGAATGGGATACTCACTGCGGCCGACATCTAGAAAGATATACAGTACAAAACTTCTGTCACATATTCACTTTACACAGACACAAATGAGAGAATAATAGAGAACTTTGTCTTTCTTTTAATGTCGGTGTGATGAGGAGCGCCAATGGCAGGACCGATTATCTATTGAATTAAGTTCATAGGTGTGTTCTTCACTCACCAGAATTGTCAAAACAATGTTCTGAAAGTGTTCTCGCAGCTCCACCGCATATGTGCAGAACAGCACAAAGTTACTTTGTATCAACTGCAAAAGGAAACAGCAGTGAATGGAAATGTAAAACAGTACCAATGATGTCCTTAATTAATCCAGCCGAAATGCTGTGATTAAAGGAATACTTCAATCAAGGATTCAAGTTTTTTAACTTTTATGTTCCATCGGAAAAATAGCCTACGGGTTTGAAATGGCGAGTACATAATTCTTCGGTGAACTATTCCTCAAGAAAAGCTAAAGCTTACATTCTATTAAGTTTTAAACCTGAAGAAACAGTATATGCTGCTAATAAATATAATTACCGTATTGGCCCGAATATAAGACGACCCTGATTATAAGACGACCCCCCTTTTTCCAGATGTACCTTTTGGAAAAAGGCTTTTTAAAAAACAAATCTTGTTTTTTCTCAGTAAAACACATTTTGTCTTCAATTATTTTCATATTGCATATTTTTCCT